CAACAACAAGACCAAACACTACTACTTTCCTTTTTCTCTCAATAAGAACTCCACTGATCCGACGTCGTTTTGGTCCAGTTTGACACAAAATCCAATATCATCAACCATCGATCACAGACATGCAAGATCCACGAAATCAGGTGCCACCTTCTCCCTCCATCTCCTCACTCTCTTCCTCCGATCTTGATACAGAGGTCAGTTTCCACAATCTTACAATTTATTAGACAATCTCATCAATTTGCTTAAATTTTCCAGTGATTTTGTTGTATTCGTTTCAAAGATTGAAATGGAAATGAAATTTGATGTTTTCAAGTTTTTTTTTTTATTGGTGATGATGCAATTAGTCTACAGGATCCTTCTTCCATGACAGAAGCATCACACTTGGAACACTTATGGGATTTAGTTTCACAGCAACCATGCCGATGATGCCATTCAGAGCTTCTTCGCACCGCCACGTGTCACCCTCCGTCTCGATCTCGCGAGCTTCAAGCTCCAATCCTAGACACAACCAGAGGAAGCGTCCTCCTTCTAATTCGGCCGACAGGCATCATCACCACCGCCGCAAGTGGTGGCGTTTTTGCCGAGACGACGACGGAGCCGGAAACGAAACCCACCGCGGCTCCGGAGATTGTAGAAGGTCGTCGCTCGGAGAGTATCTGGAGGTTGAACGGAGGTTTGGAGATGAAGCTGTGTATGCCTCAGCCGAGGCGGAGTTAGAGGGTGCGGTGGCTCGGTACCGGGAACAGCAGCCGGCGTTAACGGAACGGGCGTTGTTCGCCGACGGGAGGGTTCTTCCTCCGGCTTCTGCGGAGGTTGTTGATACCGGAGAAGGTACGCCGGTGGCTACGGCTCTTTGTAAATTCCCGGTTTCGTTAACCGGTATATGCAGCGGCGGTGGTGGATGAATACCGGTACGCCGGTTCATTTGTATTAGACTTTTTAATCTTTGTATTCAACTTTTAGGATCGAAATCATGTGGTGAATAAATTGCACATTAATATTAACATTTACGGGTATACTAGATGTTACCCGCGCGCATGCGCGGACAAGTGATTTATTAATATATTATCAACGAATTAAAACATAATATTTTMTTTACCCATTCATTTTTCAAAAATACATAAATCAAATTGTATAMGATAYTTTATACCATGMATCTTTAATCGCACRCATTTATTAGAAATATATAYTTTAAATATATTGATTGGAGATTAATTCTCAYAAAACATAGTTGTTTTATGTTTGTTAAAAATCTCRCCGCAAGTATAAAGATTGGCAAAATTAATAAGATATACAATATTAGGAATGAAGTTAATACAATAGTATTTTGGTATTATCCCCGCGTATGACATTCGAATTGGTTATTATT